TAGGGGGGGGGGCAGGGGAGGAGTAGTCAGGGATGCAACATACTGTGGCTTTTAACAAATGAAAGCACAAAGGGGAAATTGTTTCAGTTCTTCCGCCTGTGACTACCAGTTCTCAGCATCTCAGTACATGCATGTTGAAGATCAGAGGTGCTGCTTTACAGAGCTGTCTTAATGTTTTACTCAGCCCAGCTGGGGAAGTGGTGGAGACAGTTTTGTTTCTTGCTGTCTGGTTGTCAGGGCCAATTAAGTGGTCTGGTGTTGGGAGGGAGGGGAAAAACAACCCACACAAGAAAATGGGGAATTTCTGTTGTTGTTTCTGGAGCTGTTGCCACTAACTTCTGAAAATGCTGATATTTGTGTTAGATTTTTTTTTTTTTTACAACAATCGTTTTAACATCAGGAAGCCTAACTTTTGGGTTTAGCTTGATAGTATTCAGTTAGTGTTACAGCAGGAGAAGTCACGTTGCTCTTCTCTTCACCTCAGTATTGCACTATTGCACTTCTATAGAAAAATCACAAAAGAGGCACAGTAGCTACTAAACTGCCTCCGCCTAGATGTTTGTGTTGTTACAGTAACCCAAACAATCCTTAATTAAATTTCTCTGGCTGCCCTGAGTGTTACATTCAGTGAAATGCTGTTTCATTATGTTTTTTAGGGCCGGTGTACCCGAGAGAACTGCAAATATCTCCACCCTCCCCCACACTTAAAAACACAACTTGAAATAAATGGACGCAACAACCTGATCCAGCAGAAGACAGCCGCAGCCATGTTTGCTCAGCAAATGCAGTTCATGCTGCCAGGCGCGCAGCTACAGCCAATTGTAAGTTACAGCAATGAATCGGGGTCACACTGCTCCACATTTCTTTCCTGTCTCCTCGTGGAGGACCCAGCCCTGTGCTTTTGCTCAGGTGGTTGGTTGTGCTGCACGGAGTTGGGCAGCATCTTCCAGAGGGATGTCTGACGCTACCTCTGCATCTTCTTGCAAGCTGTGGCTCCCCTTTCCTCTGATAACTGAGGAGCTGTGAGATTCAGGGCATCAAGTGGAAGGGTCTTGCCACCAGGTGGATATTTGACCAGTTAATTCATGTACATCCCAGAAGTCCCGAGTGGCTCAATTCCAATGGATCCTATTTTGGATAGCTGTTTTACACTGGGGTGAGGATGCTGGAGTTCTTCCACACTGTGGCAAGGGGCCAGTTGTCTCCCTTGGACTCGATGTGTTGTACTGGTGGGCTAAAATTGGAGAAGATTAATCCTAATTTTTATGTCTGGGAGTAAGACCCATTTCACTGCAGTTGTCCCAGCAGAGAGTTGTATAATGTCACAGCCCTGTCACTTGTTTTTCACAGTAATGCTGTTTTATACTAACAGCAGGAAAGATTTGCTTCTCTTCAGGTAGGGAGGGAAGCCTGTGGGAGATGGGTGTTTGCAGAGCAGGTAGTTCAGAGAAGCCTTCACTGCCTGTCCCTGCTGTAGTCTATCGGTTAAAACAGGTTTTCAGGCTGGAGAACCCTGTTATGCCAGGGAGAGGATGACTTGTATCTGCTGGCTGGTGTGTCTGGGATGGGGTGATATTTGTCAGCTGAGTTTGAGACTGTCGCTATGTGTATTTTAAGAAATGTCAGAGATCTTGAAGCAGCTTTTTGGTGCTGACATAAATAAGCTGCACGTTTTTAACCGAGAGCCTAATTAGGAATTCTCCATTTAAAGTTGGGGCTGAATGTCTTTCCTGGAGCAACATGCACTTGATGTGCAGTTGTTGGGTGAGGTTCCCTGTGCTGTGCCACAGGGGAGGTCTGGCTGGATCCCTAGGACAGACTCTTCCAGCCTGAAGATGTGCAAGTCTGTGAACCAACCTGCACTTGGCCTCTTGGTGTCCCACCTACAGCGCCTGGCTCCTCTGCCTAAATGAGGCTTCAGACTCAGCATCCCAGCTTTGACAAGCTGGAGTGTCTCTGGTTTATCCTCACAAGAGACTGGTGGAGGGTTCTTCCTTGCTGGATGCTCTTGTGTTGTTTGGTGTAAGAGCTTGCAATGATGCTGTGTTTCAGGAGGGAAAGCTGGCCAGGGTCCCTCCGTGATGGTGCTCTACCACCATACCGGGGCATTTCCCCAGTCTGGCGTGTTCCTCCTGTCTTGTGAAGGCTCTTCCATGTTCACCCTCACTCTGGTCATCCTGCTTGTGTGTTAGCAGCTTTATCTTCACCCTGCCATGTATGTTAGGGAAATGCTGTTTATTCTTCCTATTTCAAAGATGGAAAAGTGAGGCAGAAGAGAAAATGGGCCCCAGAAAAAAATCTTTAGTTGCTCTGTGCCTTAAACTCTAATCTGCTGTAATCTTTGCACCTCTTTTTGTGGAGTTCACTTTTCGTGAAAGTACGTGCGCATGAGAAGGAAATCCTGAATTCCCACAAAATGTAGCACTGGTTTCCTAGTCCTGTACCAAAAGCAAACCTTTCCTGTTTGGGGTTTTCCTCTGTGGGGAATTCACAGTGGATGCTCTTTGGCTGGCTATTCAAAACATCTTTGGGATTTCCTCTTTGGAAAGTTCCCATCTTCCCATTTTGCAATCTTGCAGGTCCAGTTCACTCCTCCTGCAATTTCACTCTTGCCTTTTAAATTGCCTCTGAGACTGAATCTGTCGGTTTGTCTGGTTAGTGCTCTCATTTCAGAGGTAACCTTATCTGATGAGAAAGGTCTCTGGTTTCTAAATTGTGCTATGACAGAGACATGGGCAAAGAAGAAAAATAAAAATTTGTTCTGCAATGACTGCTCCCTTCCTGCTTTCCCACACTTTGTTCAGAGTAAACGAGCTCTTGTTCCTGCTGCCCGACTTGCTCCACACCAATTTCAGGACAAACAAGAGATTGCTCTTTCACCTGCCTTTGATTTCCCGAAGATGCTGCCAGTGGAAGCAGGCTTTGAGAATTTTTTTTTCTCTCTAAATGAGAAGGGTGGGGCCTCCTTCTGGCTACACATGAAATTCTTCAAAGCAGAAAGTATTATATCAGATGCAGCAGCAGAACAAATCCCATGTGATCAGAAAGCTGATCAACGGGATGCCTGCTTAATTGGGATGCTTGCCAGAGATGAGATTTGGAACAGCGTGCTTAATAGCTCCAAACAGTAGCTGAATGCTTAGACATTTTAAAGTGCATTTTCACCAGAAAAGCTACAGTGTTTAAAAAAAAAAAAAAAAACAAACCAAAACAAAAAACCACCAACCAACCAAAAAGAAAACCAGCACTTGACATAGCAGCTTTTCACCACGCTTCCTGAAATGGCATTGAATATGTCTGTCTATGAGCTTGCATCTAAACATTCACCACCAGATCTTCTTGCACCACCACTGACATCCAGCAAGAGCTAATCTTCCCATTGAACCAAGAGCCAGGACCCTGATGATGGCTGTTTAATGAAGGTGCTGCTTGGAGAAGAACCATGTCCCAGCTGGGCTGCCTGCTGCACGCTGCTCACGGAAGCCTACTAGGTGTGAATTAATGGTTGCTAGTGTGAGCTTATTTCTCTGAAGTCTGTGGTTGCTCTCTGATGTTGCTGCTTAACCGTTCGTGCAAAGCTGAGAATCACGTGAATGTTTGGTGCCCGTGATGCAGTTTCAAACAGACTGCTTCGTACAGCACTTTAAAACAAGTCAGGCAAGGACATGGAGCAGACTATTTGCTCAGCATGGTGTATTTGTTTGGGAGAGACCTTGGAGAGACCATGTCGGTGCCAAGTAGGAAGACTCTACTAGAGCCTTGACTTTTGAAGGTTCAAATTCACCTTGACTGCTGGCTTTGGTTGAGCTGTGCTGGAAGCTCTCTGCGTTGGTTTTGTGCCTCTGTCTCTGTTAGACTGCGTAAAAGTCAGGTTGAAGCCCCATCCCTGGAAACATTCAAGGTCGGGTTGGATGGGGCTCTGAGCAACCTGATCTAGTTGAAGATGTCCCTGCCCACGGCAGGGGGGTTGGACTAGATGACCTTTAAAGGTCCCTTCCAACCCAAACTATTCTATGATTCTAAGGTGAATAGAGCTGGGCTCTGGCATTGATATGGAGAGCCATTTTGGTCAATGCTGTGTCTGGTTTCTCAGATACAGTCACTTTGAGCCATGTGTGCACCAAAGTAAGACCACCCAAAAAGTGCTGCACCCTGGGCCTGATCCCTACCCTCTCCATTCTGCTTTGTCCCTTTGCAGCAGTGCGAGACAGACTTTTGGAGCTGGCCATGGAGGTGCTTCAGCACTGGCTCTAAATTGACCTGGTGGAGCAGGGCAGTGGCTTGCGTGGTGCTGCCCTGTTAGCTGTGTCTGAACAGACAGCTGGGTAGAGCACGGCAGTGTTGACACACCTGCCGCCGCACTCCTGCCCTGCAGCTGCCTCCGCTGCTGCCCTGGGAAGTTGTTTCCTCTCTCTGAGCTCACTCTCTTTTCAAGCTCTTAATCTTTTCTTCCTGTCAGGGTCTTCGTAGCCAGGACTGTCTTGACAGCTCTGAGTTACCCATGCTCCTGAAGACAACCCAGACTTTGACCCAGCCCTGTGTCCCCTCCTGGGCCAGCGGGACCCTGCTGCTGCCCCTTGGTGCTGATGGAGGGATTAAAGCACAGGGTGACCAACTCGCTTGACCAGTGATGCTTGGAACAAGTGCTAGAGCAGATTTCAACAGTGTTTTGGGCATGCATTTGTTCCATGCAGCAAAAAACTGATCTATATCTCAGCCTCTAGTCAAAGGCACACTAGGAATGAATAAACACACGTACCGTGGCCAGCCGGGAGCTGGTGTCTGCCAAGAGACAGTGCTGTGGGGCGTTAACACCTGACTTTTACACTATAGTAGCCCACAAATGAGAGATCCTTTGAGCTAGGAGTGTGTCTTTGCGGTCTGACTGGGGAAACGAGCATCTGTGATAGGTAGCTGGATGCTTTGGCCGGTTGGATTCACTCCAGCATGTTCAGCCTTCATTTTAGAGGGGTGGTTTTACAGCCAGCCCCATGCAGTTGCACTGGAGGGGAACACGGGTTTTTGCTTTTTCTGAACAGCATCAGTTATGTTTTCAATATCAGGGTCTTCAGCTTTTTCAGTACATCTTTATCTTCTACATTTGTATCACCAGACTGTAATAAAAGCTGCCACTGTTTTTTGCGTGCTTTCTATGTGTAGCTGCTTAGCAGCGACCTGTCTCCCCTCCTTCATGCCATCAACACCTCTGTATTTATATTGGGTCTCTCATTTTCAGGCTTTCCCTTTTTAGGGTCTGAGGTAACTCAGAATCAACACTTCCTGGCTGAGACAGCACTTGTGTTTGACAAAACACCAGCCGCTCCTCTGCCTTCCTCTTCACACCTACTATGTGTTTCTTCTCTAGCTTTAGCACGATTTCTGCTACTAAGCAAATTGAATGCAACTTCTAGTTTGTTAACAAAATCAGCTGTTCCAGGTTCTGTCACCACCAGTGGTGACAAATGCCCCTCCCTGGGACCGTCCCTTCTCTCTGCTCACACCTTTAACCCAATAGCTCCTGTGCTCGGGGAATGTGAGGAGCTCAGAGCTGTCAGAGTCCTTCGCAGCGCTCCCCCCAGATGTGTTCTCACAACAGCCATTTCAGCTGTTATTTATTTATTTATTTTAACACTCAGTAAACCAGTCTTGTGAGCTGTTACTGGTCTGAACCCCTCTGCTGCTGCATTGTAACCTGTTTCTCTCTGCTCAGGACTTACTGGTAGTGTCTGCATGTGCTATGATTAATAAAAGGTAGTTTGCAAGGAAATGTGGCCCTGTATTTCCTGAACTTGCAAGAGCTTTAAGGGGGGCAGCAGGCGTAAGTGTTGATACTTTCAATCCGGCTGTTTTGCCCTACAGCACACCAGCAACTAAGCTGACTTTTCTTTTTAGTGTACAGTCATAATATTGATCTGTCAGGTCTCCTGGCTGGGTGTGATCACAAGAGGTAGATGAGGAGGCATGTTGAGGAGAGCAGAGAGCAGTGCTGTTTGGAGTAAAAATTACAGTTGGGTTCTGGCTGCAAGGAAGAAACTCACTCGAATTCCCTCAGGACAGGCCTGGCACAGGGGACCTGCACAGACGTAAAGGGAGGAGAGATTTGGCTGGCAGCATCTTTATTACTGGTACTGATGCATGAGCCAGACTGGATTTCCCAATCCAAGACAGGCAGTTGGGGCTGGCAATGAGCGCAGCCCATCTTTTCCCCTCATCAGCCACAATAAATACAGAGCTCCCTGATGCCAGCTTACAAAGGAGCAGTTTTCAGTGCGCTTAGCACAGTTCAGACTTAAAAACCCCAGTGCTTCTAGGTTTAACGTGTTGAGCGAGGTCTGCTCGTTTTCTGGCTGTGCATCTGCTGAAAGCACCTGTGTGGCTGCCAAGTGTCAGTCCTCTGCCCATGGGCAGGGTGTGGAGCAGAGCTGTCACTTTCAGTCATCGGCACCGGGCGAACAGTTCAGGTGGGCAGAAGAAGCAGTTGTGAAACCTTGGGAACATGGCAGCAGATGCCAGGGCATGGAAATGGGTGAACAGCCAGTGGCAGTGATAAAAACCCATCCTGCTCCTTCATGCACCCCTCTGCAGATCTCCAGGATCATGGGTAGATCATCAATTGCTCTTTATAAACATCCTTCCTCCACTCTCTTCAGCTTGGGTTCAGATCCCTTAGCCCTTGCCAGTCGTTCCCAGTGAGGAGAGGGATTGCTCTTGAGTGAACAGCCTTGGAGATGGGGACTGTGTTTCAGGGACAGGACCTGCCTCCCAGTTTGTAGTGGCTTTGGTAGAGGAGCTGGTATATCATTTCTTTGCGAATGTTTTGCACACCTTCCCACCGGTTTCTGGTGAGTTCACTCAGTGTGAAGCGTTGCAAGCGCCTAGCCTTCCTCTCTGGCTGCCCAAATGCCCTGGCATCCTCCACTTGAGCAGTGGGAGGAACATCTCCCCTCTGTCTCAGAAACCAGATAGGTCCTCGGGCTGGCTCCTGGTTATGTTCGAGCCCAGGCAGGGGAAGCCTGCCTTAAAGGATCTCCTGAAATTCTGGAGCGATGTCTGTGCCACACCTGCTCTGTCAGGATACCCAGGACTCCTGCCGTATTGGGTGCTGGAAACACATAGGGTAGATTGGCCCGCACATTTGTGCAAGCCCCATGTGCTGCAAGGTTTGGGCTATTACGGGTATAAAAAACAAGTGCGAACAACGTGTGTTGGGCCCCAGCATAACCCTGTGCAGACTGGCCAGGCTGGAGAAACTCCTTAGAATAGCATTTACAGTGTGAATGGTGGCAGAAGTTCAGCAGATGCCACTGTAATTACTAGTGCTCACACGAAAGAAAACAGTCTAATGGATGCTGCCTTCTCACTAAAGTGTTCAGGGAGTCACAGCATTTGAAGATCCTTAAAGAACTTTTCTAGCAGCAAAAGGTGTAAAATGTCTGGGAGCCACAGAGAATTGAAAGAGAGAAGAAAATGATTTAATAAAGGGCCGTGGACTGGAGGATCTCTGGGTTTAATGGTTAAAGTCTCCCATCAGCTGAAGCGGGGCTTGACTTAGACTCAAAAGAAGGAAAATTGGAAATCCCTCCCAGAGGATTATCTGGTTCTGCTACACTTAAAGCACCAAGCGCCGCTGATTCAGGAGGCCGTGTCTCCTTGTTGTGGAGGAAAGTGGGACATATGCTGGCAGTGACCTGTCATCCCCTTTCCCATCAGCTCAGGAGCTGCTTGCTGTTACTCTGACCTTAGGAAGGGGGTATCATTAAGTCAAATATAGGTTAGGACAGCTTGGCTGGTGTTACTGTGGCTAGCTTCTTCCAGATCACAAGCAGCAAAGTGTTTCCTAGCTTATGAAAGTACTGGGATGAAGATGCTGTCGAGAAACACACTGTCCATGTGTGATTTCTTTTAGAAACCCACAGGACTAGAGGTACAAAAGTAAAAGCAAGGAGGGGATGAGATGTGTAGCCAAAAAAAACGCCCCAGGCCATTTTATAAGCACACTTACATTTATTGCCGAGTAGAGGCTCTAGCTACCGAGGACGGCATCACGTACGCCTGTAAATGTGAGCAACTTTAACTGTAACCCAGAGTTCACAGTGGAGCAGGTGACAGAAGGGAAAATAAAAGCAGTTGCAAGTCACAGGGTCCTTTCCCCAGGGGCTGCTTGAGCCCCTGCTATAGGAGCAGGAGTGCTGCCTTGCAGGCTCTGGTCTTCGGGGCGGGCAGGAGGGATTTTTCATCAGCTGGAATTGGTTTCATTCCCAAACGCACCTCGGATCCGGTGCTTTAAAGTCTCACAAACTCCCTGGCTACAGGGGCTATTCACAGACTTTAAACTAAGCACCTGCTTAGGAGCTTTGTGTGATCTCGCCTGCCTGGCAGAATGGCAGCTCCTTTCCCAGACCAGTGCTGCTGGAGCACTTCAGGCCAGGGAGCTGCTCTGGCCACTGGCGCTGAAGCTCTGCCGCGCTTGCAGGGCCTGCCGAATGCGATTTGGGGATCAGAAGCAGTCAACATCTTTATGGCTCATTGTTCTGTCTCCTCATGGGACATCACTCCTCACAGCATAGCTGAGGTCCTGGACCTCTTGCTGGCCTACCTGGGCCATCTCATCTGGTACGATCTGTCCATGGCTCTTCCAAGCCCACGACCCACCTGCTCTTGGCAAAGCCATGAGGTCTGGCACGTTGTAAAACTAGTGAGTTTAGTGTCTTCTTGCTGCCATTCACGTGGAGCGTAGGCTCGGGATACTCCTGCAAAATTGCTTTTGCCTGAAGACTGTTGGCAGTCTGAAACAAACCCCAGGTGTGCAGAATGCTAGATCTCCAAGCGCACTGTAGCAGAGATGCCTCGCCTGACTCTAAATGATCCCATTTGTCTAGTTGAGCCACACTAGCCATGATAACGTGGAGCTCAGTGCAGGCTGATGGTGAATTCAACCATGTAGCTAATGGAGTTACGTGCTTCCAGGTCCTGAAGCTGCAGCTTACCTTGAGGTCTCTGTACAGCATTGCGGTGTAGACATACAGAAGCTGAGACATTTATTTGGGAATGAAAGTCTGTTTAATTTGGGCCTGCCCTAATTGCTGGCATGAAATCCTTAATTGTGTCATTAAACTATAAAGATCATCAATACGCTTTGATCTGGCAAATAAAGATGCCTTGTGTTCAGGATGAGTCACAAATCTGTGAGTCAGGAGAAGCGAATGGATCGCAAGAAAATGGCGATAAATGAATAGATTGGAAAGCACAGCATTTTGATGTTGCTAATCAAATTGTCTAAAAGGATTGAAGTGCTGCAAGGCTTTGATGGGTAATCCATGACAGAGCTTCTTAACTAATACTTTGTTTTTCCTCTTTCTATACACAGACAACGTTTCCTGTGACTCCATCGCTTGCAACAAGCCCCACGATGGCTTTTAGTCCCTACCTGAGTCATGTTTCTCCTGGGATGGGCTTGGTTCCTGCAGAGCTTTTACCAAATACTCCTGTCCTGGTTTCTGGAAATCCTACTGTTACAGTACCGGGAGGCTCTGCTGGGCAGAAACTGATGCGTACGGATAAACTGGAGGTATTTGGACATCTGATACGATACTGCTGACGGGAATGAACAGGGCATGTGGGCCCAGCTGTTGCTCTCTGCTAGAATGACCTGATGTAGCACAGTGCAGAGTTTAACCTGCAGCTTTCCTGACACAGGGCTGCTGTTCTTGCTTGAGCAGACTCTCATGTGGGGCCTGATCCCAAATCCTTGGAAGTCACTGGAAATTTGGGAGCACTCACTCTTCTGATTTCAGTGGGTGTTCGAGCAGGGCTGGGATTGTTGTTTTGTGTGTGTGATCTGCCACGCTTAAAAAATGCAAGTCTGCCATTTCAATGAGTTGAGTGGGAGATGTTTTGGAAGTAACAGACACTTCCCTTGTCTTGAGGTGGGCTTATTGAGTTTTTACAGAAAGCTTTAAGCATTACACTGTTGGGAATGCTGGCTACGGGGCATTGGAAAAATATCTCCTCCCCCCCCAGTTGGCTGGGCACACTGTGACTTAGCGTTGGAGGAGTTTTAAATGTCTTTCAAACCCTAAGCAGAGGCTCTGCAGGAGATGAGGGCTGAGGACCTGAATTCAGAGGCCCCTGCAGGTGTAAATTGTAACACAGGAAGGTAGTGGAGAAGGGTGTAATTTCAAAACGCATTGTTTTGTGTTATGTACTTTATATTGCCTTGCTGATTGCTTCCATTCTCGCATGACCTCTCACCTTTCCCCACACTCAGTCTGATAGCACGCTGGTACGTGATCTACACCACCAGCTATAGTCCTCAACTATTTCTCTTAGTTCCTCAGACAAGGAAACCTTGCAGATCCGTTTTGTGAAACCTTTTTCTCCGCCTTTGATGCTTCAGTGCTCATAACTTACGAGGATCTGCAAGATCTTTGTAAAGCTAGCAGTTTTGGTAACACCTTAAGAACACATTACGGTGTAATCAAACACACTGTCATGTAACCCCAGGGTCAGAGTTTTGTTGTGGAGGGCAGTGAGACTGTGTGAAAGAGGCTCCTCATATTTAAGAAAAGGTACTTGTTGCAAATAACAGCAGCATGCAACATTTAGAATTAAATGTCCTATCCAAGAGTGTGCTCCATAACAAATAGATAATCCAGCTGAGACACAAATGGCAGTCATTAACATTTAAGCTTTAGAGGCAGGGGAGGAATCTTGAGCTCCAAAAGTTTTGGCAAAATGACATTGACTTCCTGGGGTCACTTTCCATTCTGCACAAATTCTGTACTTCACTTGCATTTGGTAACGTTGTGGGTTTTTTTCATACCCTGAACCAGTTGTGAGTCGCACCACTTGTCTCTGTGACTGTTGGTATATGTGCTACCCAAGATGAGCATGGATTTAGAATACACACATAGTTTAATGTGGCCAACTGAACTGATATTCTGCGTTCAAAATACTGAATGAAGAGTAACTTGATGTCCTGCTCAACAATGTGACTTTCTTTTAAGGTTTGTCGAGAGTTTCAGCGAGGAAATTGCACACGTGGTGAGAATGATTGCCGCTATGCTCACCCTATAGATATTGCAATGATAGACACAAATGAAAATACTGTTACAGTTTGCATGGATTACATCAAAGGTCGATGCTCTAGGGAGAAATGCAAGTACTTTCATCCCCCTGCACACCTGCAAGCCAAAATCAAGGCAGCTCAACACCAGGTGAACCAGACAGCTGCAGCTGCAATGGTAAGTAGAGCTCTTCTCAAGCTGTATTTCCATTGCTAAGAGATTTCATTTGTGTCATACGTGTCGTTTGTGGAAAAGTAGAGTGCTTTGTAAGTGGCTGACTAGAGAGCTGAGAGCATGTGCAATACGAATCCCATCTCTTCATCCTTTCTATGTGCTCACCACAGCATGAAGACCTGAGTGGCACAGTACATCTCACCAGTTAAGGACAGGGTGGCGAACCCTGTGATTTTCTGTTGTGACTTCATGAGGTGACATGAATGCAAATACAGCAGCAAACACCTTCCCTGGCTAAGTCATAGGTGTCAGTTTAGCTTCCTCAGTACACAGTGAAAGCAAAGAATGCCCATCCCGTAATACATCCTTTGCAGGGAGATCCCGGGCTGTTGAGGTCAGTAGCAAAATTTCCACTGACTTCAAAGCGGACAAGGTATCAGTTGTTGAAGCATAGCAAACTGAGCAGCCTTGTGCCTGATACCTTTGCTAAGGTTTAGTGAAATGACAAGACTCAGTCCAAAGGTGACTCCTGACCTGTTTGATATCTTAGGACCTGGTAGAGATGGTCCCACCTGCATTTTAATTTGAATTGTGATTTCTACTACCTACAATTTAAAAAAGAGCCAAGGAAGACTTACCAGATCAAATTCCTAGCTGGAGTAAATGTTTGCCAGTCTGTTGAATTCAATTTAATGGCACCTGTTTATTCCAGAGATGAGAGAGCTGGGGCTGTTCAACCTGGGGAGGGAAGAAGAGGCTCAGGGATCTTACCCGTG